CTTTTAAAAATCTTGGGTTAGGAGAAATTGAACCGACGGCTATAACTCTTCAATTAGCCGATAGATCTTTAGTTTACCCAAAAGGTATTTTAGAGAATGTGCTAGTGAAAGTCAATAAATTTATCTTCCCTGTCGATTTCGTTATACTTGATATAGATGAGGATAGGGAGATACCTCTTATCGTAGGGAGACCGTTTTTAGCCACGTCGAAAACTCTCATTGATTGTGCTAGTGGTGATCTTACAATGACTGTGCATGATCAAACAATCAAATTCAATGTTTTTAGTGCTAATAAAAATCCATATGATAATAATGATTGTTTTGCTATTGAGCTTATGGATTTTACAAATAATGAAAAGTTTGATGTTTCGATCTTGGACAATGGCAAAGCATCTTTGAGTGCAGGAGATGATGGCGGAAACGGGAATCGGACGGAGCAAGTTTATTTCATGGACTCACTTTTAAATCCTCCGAGAGAAAGTCATGCGAGTCGAGGTCTTAACAACGATGAGAATGCAAGGAAGATGTTGCCACCCAAAAGCTCGAGCAAGTCACGAGAGAAGGATGAGTCAAGCTATTGTGGTCGTAAGGAGAAAATCAAAAAGGAATTGCACAAAGGACTATCGGTGTTATTGTGCAAATCCCGTCTTTGGATATTTCCAAGAAAGCGCAAATCAAAGTGGTCGCGGCCATTTATTGTCCAAGAAATTCTTCCTCACGAGGTGGTCAAGATAAAGGAGCGGGATTCAAATCGTACGTTCAACGTAAAACGGAGCCGGCTCAAACCGTATTGGGAAGCGAGTGAAGATTGCCAAGTGACTTCGGTCACTTTTGCTTGAAAATAACGAAGCAATGTCCGGCTGAAGACTTTAAACTTAGCGCTTCTCGGGAGGCAACCCGAGTTTTATTGTTTTTCGTATTTTTCTTAAATTTTTCGTTCCGTTTTTAATATCATAAGCATGCATTCTAACTTATTATTTGAATTTTACTTTTCAGGGTCGAAAACGTGATCGAGGGTCGAGTCGGCTGTCCGAAAAAAAAAAAAAAAAAAAAAAAAAAAAAAAAAAAAAAAAAAAATTGCAGCACTGTATTTGGGACGGCCGTCCCAAAATATACCTTAAAAACGGGACGGCCGTCCCACAACCAGAAGGAACAAGTACCCTTGGACGGCCGTCCGAGTTTTAGCCTTAAAACCGGGACGACCGTCCCCAAACCAGTGAGGGCAGACAAATTCTCGGACGGCCGTCCGAGAATTAGGCAAAAACGTGGGACGGCCGTCCGAGCTCAATAGGGGGCGTTTCAATTTTCAAAAATTAGATTTTCTCCCCCATTATTTCTTAAACCCTCCTCTTTCGTTCTCTCTAACTCCCACACACGAATTTTCGAATTTTTGAATTTCTCGTCCAAAATTCCTCAATTTGACACACATAATTCACTCACGCACTCTCCAATTATTATTTTGTGTTGGTATTGATAGGGAGGCTCGAGAATCGAACCAAATTCTTCAAAATCTACTCTTTCAAGGCACGTCCACAAGGTGTTCGACAATTTGCCTCAACCAAATTTGGAGGTCGATTCTTGTCCAATTCTTACCGCATCAATTCCAAACGTTCTCCCAACTATGTCGTCCAACAAAAGAGCATGAGCGTGAGAGAGCGAGGGAGGAGCACCCTACTTACATCGACTCCGACTAAATCAGGTGTTTTCTATTCTTAAACTTTGTGCTAATTTCGTTGAGGGCAACGAAAATTTTAAGTTTGGGGGTGAAAAACATGTTATTTTTGTGCTTATTTGTTTTAGTTTGCATGCATAAGGTTTTATTTGTTTTTATTGCTTTTCTCGTTTTTCCGGAATAAAAAAAAAAAAAAAATTGCTTGAGTCAAATGCATCTATGATTTATGATGATGAGAGATGATCAATGTTTGATGATGAAATTGCTTGTTTTATGTGATAAGGAATTGATGTTTGTTTAGCTTTTGATTCAACGGGACTTAGAAGCGAATTATTGCTAGGAATCACATTTTGTGCATTGCTTTTGTTGAATGTTTTGTATTTTAAATTTGGAATTAATTTGTGCTAGATCATGCTATGTTCGGTTTTAAGACTCACCTTAGGAAATTTATGATACGAAGTATTGAGTAGTGAGTGATTTGGGATATGATTTGGGCCTTCTTTGAACCGTTTGAGCCTTTCAAGCCGACCCTTTTATCGAAATTCCTTAGAACCTTGATTTGAGCCTCGGAGAAAAGGTGTTCTTTCTTTTAGCCATGTGTATAAGGTAGAAAAGTGGAGACTCTTGAAAAAAAATTACCCCTTGGAGTTCGGTCGAAATTTTCATAAGGTCCTTCTTCTTCTTCGAAAAAAAAAAAAGAAAAGAGAAAAAAAAAAAAGAAATAAAAAAAAAGAAATAAAAAGAAGACAAATATCTATGCTTCTATATATATATTTAAAAAAAAAAAAAAAAAAAAAAAAGTAAAAGAAGAAGAAGAAGAAACTAGAAGGGAGAAATAAGGACTAGTTGTTGAATTATTTTTGAAAACTCGATCCATTGCCTCAAAAGCAAAAGTGGAGACTTTTGAACTTTTGTGAATCGAGTTTATTAAAGTCCGTAGAGGTGAATTCATTGTTTCAAACGCCTATCTTTCAAATTTTGGCGTAATCACCTAAATTCAAGAAGAATAGCCACACATACCCATATTTCCTACCTCGAACCAAAGAGCCTAACAATTGAAAGCCACAAAGCCCCAATGATCCCAATAGCTTAATGTTCGATATTAGTAGAGTAGAATAATTTGGTGAGTATTTGGAGTCAAGCATATGCATGTAAGTATAAATTCTTTCTATCTTTAATTTGCAAATATTGGATGCTTGAAGCAATTGTATGAATTGTGGTTTTTGGTAATGGTGAGTGACTAAGTGTTGTTGAATTTTGAGCTTGCGAATGCCTAAGAATTGTCATTATAATTACAAGTTCTGAAAACGTGAAGTTGATCATTGATCTATGTGATGAGATGTAATAGTTGAGTTATTTGCTTGAGGACAAGCAAAAGTTCAAGTTTGGGGGTGTGTTAAGTGTATATTTTTACACTTTATCGTACCTTTTTATTTGGGCTTTTGGTGTGTTTTAATGATAATTGGTGCTTAAAAGTTGATTTATTGTATTTTAGGTACAAATTGAAGAATTGGAAAAGTATGGGGTCAAAACTGCAATTTTGGCGAAAATATGGGTCAAAAGTGAAAATATCAAAATTCTGAAGAAACAAGGCTCGGACCCCCGTCCCAGTTTTAGTGCAAATTATGGGACCCCCGTCCCATACCCCGAAGTTGCGCAGTAAAGGGATTTTAATTGCACAAGGAAACTGCCTTCTTCCCCAAGTTCTTCACCCTATATAAGACCAATCCAAGCACACAATTAGGGATCTTTTTACTGAATTTCAAGAGCAACAAAGCAATAACGAAGACGAAGAATTCGAAGACTCTAAGCAAAGATTTATCGTCTATGATTTATTTTATTTGCGTTTTTGCTTTAATCATGAGTAGCTAAATTACTTGTTTCTAGGATTTTATTTGGAACCCTATGTGGGATTTATGAACCCTTTTCTATGATTTTATGCAAGTTTTAATTCCGGATTATTTCTTCTACTTGTTTTATTAAGTTCATGAAACTGGCCACTTTATGTGCTTTTATGTTATTGTTAATCGCATGAATCGGAAGATCGGGTTAATAATTAGAACTGTGGTAGAAGAGCCTTTGTGGTATTAACATAGGAATATAGTTAATCTCTTAGGTAGCCATTATTGAGATTTGTGTTTAATGCTGTGTTCTAGAATTAATTGCATAGGAATATAGTAATTGAATCTAGAGGATTAGAATCGTAATACACGCGGAAGCGGGTTATGATTATTTTAACATCTCAGGTTAATAATCCGGGTTAATTGCTTGCATAATTGAAGGAATTGGGGGAGTAATAATCACATAGGGGGAAGAATAAAATCCTAGGCTTGCTTATCTTGATTAAATCTTCGTTTTAAATTGCTTTCTTGTTTTTGCCTGTCTTTTAATTTATTTTAATTTAGTTAATTCTCTTTAAAGTCGACTGTGTAGGGTGGGCTTGATAATAATTGGTAGAATTTAGCGTCTAGGATTAAGTAATTAAATATTCCCTGTGGGTTCGATATCCGGACTTAATTGTCCACTATATTACTTGTACGATACGTGCACTTGCGTGTAGGTTTTCGACCAACACACCGCATAAATAGAAGCTTTCAATTATGGCTCAGTTTCCTAGGTTTATTATGTCGTCCATAATCCACCCGGCGATGGCACCAACAGCCCGGCACAAAGCACAGTTTACCGAAAAACACTAGGTCTCACCGGAAACACTCGCCCAAGCCCCCAACTTCTCACATTTGAACTCTCTCGTGTTCACCTCACTCAGAGTAGATCTCATGCGCTCACAACAGAGCAGAAACCCTAAGAAACCAGAGATTCAAATTGCGTCTCTCACTCTACCTCTCTCTCCAAGGTTGTTTTATAAATAGAATGAAAAGAAGAATTGTCTCTGAAACAGAGGGCAAGAAAGGAGATGCTTCATCATGGTCAAACGGCTCTGTCGTCCGAAAATGCCAAGAGGCATTGAATGCGGTAGTGCGGCGGAAAGAAGTGAGAGAGGCAGAAGAGGCAAAAGTTTTAGGCCTGAGAGAGGTGATGTTTAAATACCTCAAGTGAATGGCTCGGATCAAACGGTGGAAAGCAACGAACCAGATCAAAGGTCTAGAGGCTTCTCAGAGTTGGACAGAGTGAAGAGAATGGGCTTTGCTTTTGCTAGGCTTTGTTGCTTGGACGCCTTAAGTGGAAATCGGCTAATTGGGCTGGATATCTAAATAATCCATTTTGGGCCCAATAACTAACAAGAGTCTCTAATTGTTTATTCTGAAGTAAAGTGTATCTTTCAGGAGCATGAATATGATGGATTTTTGCAGACATGTCATCTAGCCAATTAACAAGAACTAAATAAACATTTGCAGTATAATAATTAGGGCAACGAAGAAAAGTTATTACACAGAGTTCACTAGTTACACTTTGGCAAGGTCAAGTCCATCTCTAAGAAATCGGCATATTGGCCGTAATATCTGTGAGCATCCTGTTGTATAACAGCTAAAATATCGATTTCTTTATTTGCTTCTAAACCATCTATCAGAATTTTAAACGACAGTCTGTCGGGGTCACAAGATACCGATTTCATCAAATAAAAACACTCGATCGCTAAACCAGTGAGATTTAAATTCATTAAGCTTTGCAGCAAAGCATTAAACCCCTCAAGATCGGGATTAAGAAGACAACTTTCTGCTTTAAGTTGGGCGATAACAAGTTCCGCCTCTTGAAGCAATCCATTGCTCCCCAAAACCGTAACCATTTCGGCAATCAGCAACAACTTAGGCTTATACCACTCTTCTTTCCTCACGTCCTCGAAAACCTACATCCATACATCAATACAGATTATTACACTATATAAACGGCAGATAGACACAAAAAAGACTCAGTATTCTGATGCCAGAATAAGCATTCATTCTCTCGTATTTTCATGTATCGTATTTGTGCCAATATAACTATCCTTTGAACTTTGAAGTTCGTTCATTCTTTCAAGTTGTCTTTGGCAAAATGCTTTCGGAGCGTTATTTATAAAATTTACATAAGACGACTCGAAACTTCTTGCCGAGCCCTAATATGAGTTCTGTCTTATCTCTTTATTGGACAAAAGCAACAACAACGGCTTTAAGGATTCTGATTACAGTATATTGTGATTGAAGGCTGATAAGATTGTACTAAAAAGGGAAGCACATAGGACTACAAAAGCAAGAAAGTAGTTATTAAGAGCAAATATGGGGAAAACACAAGAAATAATAATTCATAGGACAAAATGCACTTCACCCGCTATAAATTTCCCATTTTCACACTTCCCCCCCTAAAAATTTCAAAAAAGGGATACTCCCCGTTCGAAATATTATTTTGGTTGCACTCCCCAGAAGCCAATTTTTGGAGGGCATTGTGCAACAAAAATAACATTTTAAAGGGGCAACGTGCAAAAAAAAAAAGTAGTGTTTTTAAGGGGCAATGTGCAATAAAAATAACATTTAAAGGGGCAATGTGCAACAAGAATAACATTTTAAAGGGGGGCATTCACCTTTAAAAATTCGGTGGGAGTAAAGTGCGAAAATTAAAAATTTACAGGGGGTGATATGCAATTTTCCCTAATTCATACGACAGTGTCCATTTAAACCTTAACATTCAACAACAAGATGGTGGGAAAAAAGACGAAAACCTTAAGGGCCAAAAGGCATTGGTTCTGTCGAAGGAGTTCGCGGAGAACAGCAATCATATCAAATTTGAGTAAACGCCTGAATTTGTTATCGTACACTTGCTCCAGGGATGATGCATCCCGGGATGCTCGTTTTAACGCTTGAACTGTTTGGATAGCTTCGATGCTAAGATTCCTCCCCTTCTGAAGGGGCTTTCTGTTCTTGCTTCTGTCTCTCATCGTAATCATGCTCATCGTTCTCCGACTTTTCTGATGATGCTCACTTGAATTCATTTGCTTCAAGTTCACGAGTCCCGTAAAATTCCCGATACAGTACATTCCGGTCATTCGAATCAACGCAGCCTCTCTATTTAAATTAAAGAGCTGCCAATCACAAAATTGACAGTTCATATTTCAATCAGTCAATCCTATTTAATTTGGCAAGAGCCTACTCCTAAGTAATTCCAATTCCTTAAATTCTTAAACCCAATTTCATTATTGTCCAGTTTGCCCCCAAATCCCAATTCCCCAACCCTAATTTCCCCAATTTTGTTCGTCTTTCTCTTACTATCCAGAAGTAAATTTACAATGCCCAGAAGGCGATAATCATCCGGAATACTGAAATAGAGTTAAAAAGACGAGAAAGAGCGGAGAAATGACAAACCTTTTTTTTTTTAGCGGCGGGCGTCTTCTAAAATTTAAAAGAAGCGATTTATCAGCCGGAACGGCAATATATGCCGCTCACGCGCACCGTGGCGGTGGTTTATCGGCCGGTACGGCTTCTGGCGGTGTTCGTGGTGTAACTGTGTTCTTCGTGGCGGCGGAAATGAAGTAGAGCTGTTGGCGCCGATAATTTTATATTATTTCTTATTTGGGCAGAGTCGATTGCATGAATACAAATCGGATTAGGCTCACATAAGTTTTCAAATGTTTCAACTTAGTCCCTACATTTTATGATTTCTATTAAAATAAACTGATTTATTCAGAACATACACTTTAACCCTTAAATTGAGATTTTCTGCATTTTTGCACCCTTTCGCAAATTTAAAGTTTTTTGGGGGGTGTTGTTTGTAACGTTGATGATTGATATAACATTATTGTTCTATTGTAATATTATTCTGTAAATAATTATATTACAATTTCAATATTACATATAGTACAAGGAGTACCCACAAAGGATCACGAGTTACAAGGAATTACATGGGTATAATCCTTTTTTAACACAACTAGCCTACATAATGACTTATAATTTATGGCTTATCAAATTTTTCTTTTTTTACTAAATCAAGTCCTTTAATGGAAAGTGGGGGAGAGGGACTCGAACGCTATATCTTTACCCTATTGGTAAGGCTAAGTACCAAATCTTCTAATAAGGGTTGGTAATATTCAAATCGATCAATTACGAACTGGGGAAGTAAAGGTCGGGTAGGATTCGAACCCTAAATGTTACTCTAATAGTAGAGGCTAGGTATTAACTCTTCTAAATATAATTAATTTAACTTATGATTTTTTGACATTCGTATGTTATACAAATATAAAATACAATTATAACATAAAAATTCCTCACATAAATTGTATAACAAAGATTAACGATTAAGATTATATAACGAGTAATAAAAATATTACAAATACTTTTTTAACTTGTTGAAAAATAACCACTAGTTGTAACTAACAATATTTACTTTATCTATTATCTTTTCCATTTTGAATAAAATAAAGAGTTAAATACAAAAACATCCATGTACTATGAACTTTATTTCATATTACCTCATGTACTGCATACAAATAGAAAAACTCCCCTCATATTGCATTTTTTCCAATCTATAACGTATATATACCCATACTCAAGTTTTATATATATATTTTATTTTATTTTTTCTGAGCCATTTTTCACTATATATTTTACCATTTTTAGTCAATTTTACGTGAGAAATTTTGGTCATTATATTTTTGTCTCCAAAACATCTAATTGCTTAGATTTTTTTTTATTTTCTGAAAAACCTTTTATTTTTGTCATTTTGAGTTTCTTCATGTTTTTTCTTAAATGTCTTCTGGTAGTTTAAACATCCTACAAACATCTTTACAATCCGATGATTGTTGAAAATTTGAACTACCGAAAGTCATTTAAGAAACAAATGAAGAAATTCAAAATGACAAAAATAAAAGGATTTATTCAGAAAATTAAAAAAAATCTAAGTAATTAAATATTTTGGAGAAAAAAATATCAAAATTTCCCAAATAAATTTGATCGAAAATGATAAAAAATATAGTGAAAAATGGCTCAAACAAACCCTTATATTTATAGGCTTGGCAGGGCTATTTTCGCCAGATTTTGGAAAAAATATAACAATAGGGAGGTTTTTATATGTATATGTAGTACATAGGTATATGATACAAAGTCTATAGTACATAAGTGTTTCTGTATTTAACCCTAAAATAAATTACTTATTAAAATATAATTATATTTAGTATTATAAAATTAATTATATTTCCTTATAGTAGTCGTACTTGTAGATAATCAACAATGTGGGTTTACCCACCACTATTAACATTTACGTAACTTCCAGGCGCTTATGGCTATATTAATGAGAAAACTTTCTTACTATCTAACCCCTATAATTTTCTCTTTACGAATTTGTTCTTTGCATTCTTTCTTTCTCTCTTTCTATTGTTGTTATTGTACTGTGTTTCCACAATAATCAAACCGAAGAGCAAGACGAAAAAGCTGTTTACAACACATTATGAGCACGAAGTGCTCGTCGTGATCGTGGAAAGACAATCGTTCGTTGGACTAGAATACTTCAAGAATTTGTGATTCGGGTGCTCATGGAAAACGAACCATTTTTGGGTGGACGCTTGAAAAACTTGTCATTCAAGTTCGTTTGTGAAATGGTAATCTTGTTCAAAGAATACAATATATTCTTCAATATTTGGGTTTAAGCGTTTTAAGTAAGCCATAACCCCTTGCAATTTCGATTTCGTAAGAGATGCATGCTAAATCTATTTACTAGTATGAAATGTATGAAGTATATTTATCTTCAAGTCATTACTTCATTTATACCGTGGCTCATTAAAAATATAATGTGATTCGTAATTATTGGAAGCACGATTAATATATTATAGTATGGTATAAATATCAGAAATAATTGTTTTTGGTATCTGATGCATGTCATGTTGTAGCAAATTATTTTATTATTTTCATCGGATTCAATGAATTGTAATAATAAATATGTGATTGCATATTGTCAAATGATTATAATACCTTATAGATTTATTTTATGCTTTTTGATAAGAAATTATATTATGAGTGCTTTATTATTACATTTAGAGTATAGTGCACTTACAAAACTTATGAATAAGTATGCACTGTAGAATGTGGGGTGAATATATTTGACGATGAGTATGAAATTCTTTATGTTTCTTTTTTAACGTGATTGTAGCCACATGAATGGAATTTTCTTTGCGTGGTTGAATTTATATCGCATGAATTTCTATAAAATTTTGCTCCAATAACTTGGTCATTTCATTTTAAGATGATCTAATGCTTTGTTGATACTTGATAGTATGCATTGGACAGTGCTCGTGAATTAAGCTTTATGGGTCTATTTAGTTAATTTATGATTAAGTGCCGAAATAATGTTCGTATTAGTTCGTGGAATTTGTATGACATTATACGTGCTATATATGGTTTATATTATTGAGCGTGTTATATTTTATATATTTGACGGTTTCATAGTCTTAATTGTATGAAGGTTTTGGTCTATCTCTAATGGAGAATTATCTTCAATTGATCCATTATTTATCTGCCATAAGTAATTTTGTGATACAAAAATGGTAAGCAATATTTCATTCGTCGTTATGCTTTCTCATATGAATGTCATGAACGTGCATGAATATGTAGTACATGAATTATTAAACCGGAAGTTCTGATATGTTAAAATATTCATGAAATTGTTTATGGATGTTACATTCCCATAAAAACTAATACTCTACATTTTATTTTATTCGAGAATAAACTTGAGTTCACCCATCTTAATGTATCTGGTGAAAGTTATATTAATTGGAAAATGGATGTTAAGATCCACCTTCTTAGTATGAAACTGAGAATTGTTGTCGAGTGCAATTTGCTAAGAAAAGTCCAGAAGACTGAGGTTATGATTCTGATCAAGAGACACTTAGATGAAGTCCTTCGTTTGGACTATATTCATCGAACAAGGGTCTCCATAAATTATGGGATATACTTGTTAATCTATTTAATCGCCTTAAAATTATAATCTTGCCTCAAGCAAGGAATAAGCCGATTCTATTATGGTTCATGTAAAATCCGAATCAAAATCAGATCATACATACACATTATATATGTGGTGGATTCGGTCATTGTCGCATACCTGAAGTGCGAGGAATGTTGTGATGCAAATAATAATGCAGCAACATAGAGTGATTTGGTGGATGCCAATGTTCTTAATGTGGAGCCCGTTGCTCAACTCCCATACTTGGGCACATTTAACCAAATGATCCATGTTGGGATATGATTGAAGTATTGATTTCATGAAATATGCATTATGTTAATTTACGACTCTAGTTGATTAGTTTATTGGATTTCATTCGTTTTATATCATATGCTCATCGATTATGTTTAGCTTATGCTATGGACCATATTTTTATGTGACTATATATTTTAAATCAGTCATTATGTTATTCACTGGTGTTTGCTTGTTGAATTCTATTTAATATTTGAAGTACTTAATATATAACTCTCTTGACATGACATGTAGGGATAAATGTATGGCAGATAGTGCGACTTCACATGCTATCCTTAGTGATAAGTATTACTTTATTAATTTCATGTCTAGTAGTAGTAAGACCTCTCTGACAAATATATGAGCCACGTGTAATTTTCTAGATGGTTATTGTAATGTCGACATTATGTTATCTCATGGCACACTTTTGGCCATTAAAGTAGCTCTCTATTCTCTATGTTCCAGTAGAACGTTGTTGAACTTTAAAAATATTTGAGCTACTGGTTATCATATTTTGAAACAATTAAGAAAATAGAACAAATATATGTGGATCACCTCTAACGTGTATGGAAAGAAGCGTACATGGAAAAATTAGAGGGATTTTTTACACAGTTGTATAGAACCACCATTTGAATGCCAAAAACATAAATTGTCGATTGTTCTAAATCAAGTAACTTGATTATATGCTATCATATGCACATACTTGTAATCGTTCCCTTGCTTTCTTGGAGTTAATCCAAAAACATATATTAGGACCGTGGTAGTTAATCTCACGATATATCACGATACGGTATGCTTTCAATCAAAACGATACAACTCGGGCTCCGTATCGATTATTCATAAGATATCGTATCGTAT